CTCTTACTAGATCTTAAATTTGGAGCAGGGAGCTCTGCACGCAAAGCTTGGGAAAAGACCTCAACACGTTATTCAGTGCTTCTGATTGGGATCATCCATGGGGCAGCTCTCACCTTAAAGCAACATCAGCTCTTACATGGGAGGGTGTGTCGGAACTGATTTATTGCACTTAACTGCAGTCAGGCTCAGCTATTTCCATCGTTCACTTTCACCAAAATGCTGGTGAGTTGTGAAACTCGTGGGTCATATTTGCACCTGCAGTGAGAGTGTGAAAAGGTGAGGGGCTTCTGGCTTAACCTGCCCAATCACATAAAAAAGTTTATCAAGCAAAGAAATGTCCCCAAATAGATTTTAGCTCTCCTTTCCATCTTCCTTAAAAAGCGGTACAACAGACTTGGCAACTAGCAGGAACAGAGAATGGCATGGGGTTGAGGAATCGAAAATGATAACACTATGGCAGTCTGATATCATTTTTTGTTAATAACGATAAACCAACCGAAAGGGTACAGCACCAAGCCTTTCTCTCGTTTTGGTCTGACATCTGGCCTACATCTCGTTTCTCTAGTAACCCAACTGTAATAGGGGTGTAAAGAATGACACAATTGTTATACGCTGTTTGCTCCATTTATTGATAATATTTTTTAAAAACAAAAATGCTAGAACACAGCTATACTTCAAAATTGACACCTCTCTAAACTCCACAACCCAATTTTGCGACCAAACATTTACAAAGATGTATATATTAGAGGAAATGTGCCTAATAATATTGGTGAAAATAACATACCAAAATGCCTTATATTAGGGGAAATTGCTTGCAAAAATGTGTACATTAGTCAAAGTTGCATAGTGAAATGTGTGTATTAGAATGCAAATCACATTTTAGGAGTATTTTTTTAAAAAAGCACGAATTGATGCAGAATGTGGAGAACTGAATTTACGATTGGAAAAATGAGAATCTGACAGAACAAGAATTGACAGATCTGTCCATCTCTAATGGCCAGTGACGGGAACAAGTATAATTCCAAACTTAGACATCATTAGTTGGCATAAGTAAACGGTTCTTACATTGCACTATATGTTACTGCTTTTGTTCTAAAACCATGCACATTCACACACAGCCTGTATTTCCTACGGTAACTAAGCTCTGTTTAGCTGCCCTTGTAGTAAATAAATCGAAGGAATTAAAAAGTAATTTCACCCCAAAGCAATCAACTCAATTGCTTGTATCCTGTTTAATTTAAATAGGAAGAAACAGACAATATATTCTGCCTATCAGCCACTAGAGGGTGAGAGCTCTGTGAGGAAAATAATTGAACATTATAACTAACCTATTCAAAGGCTAATGAATTTTCATTTCAGGAGAAATATTGGCCCATGACCTTGAGAACTGTTAAAGACAGTTGCTGGCAGCTAAGCTTCAGAATATTCAGCAACAATATAGTTCAGCTTTTCATCAGTTTGCAAGCTGACTTTTAGTTTTCAAGTTATTTTAGTATGAATGATAGGTAGAGCCAGATAAATTTTCCTCTTCCTAGCTACATACAAGATGTCTGAAAGCCTTTTGCTCCCAAGTGTTTGCTTGACATCCATAATGTTTGCTTGGAATTAATTTCATTATCTTGTGTCTAGTTCCAAAGTTCAGTGAAGAATATTTGGAAGTCATTGACATAATTTTATACTAAGTTTCCAGTTCTTGCATCCTGGACAATTTGACTTCAGCTATATTCGGAGATTGAAAATATGCTGCATTTATAACATGTGGCTTTTCTTTAATCTCTTAGAAACATTGAAACGGGAACTCCAGCTAATGAATGGTTCGTGGGACTCCTTAGGGACTCTTCTATCTTGTGTAAAATTCCACAAGTGTTTAGGCTACTGTGTGGAAGTGAGCAATGAGCATTTAAAGCCAAGATGAGGGGACTTCAGTCTTACATGGTCTACTTTGAAAGCACCCCAGCCATGATCCTCTGATGCATTTTTAAATTCACAAAGCAATAATGCCTACTCAGGTTTTCCTTAGCCAGTTAAGGGATAACCACTGTGTGCTAAGACATCCTGATTAAGCACTCTTTGCTTAACAATGAAATACCTTGCTAGATCTGATCAAGATCCATCTCATCCAGCATAGGAAGCTGCCTTATACTGAGGCACCAATACCAGTATTGTCCACTCTGGCTGGTAGCAGTGCTGCAGGTGTTCAGACAGAGCCTACGTGGGGATGACAATGAGAGCATTTAGAACCACCTACTTGCCACTCATCTGTCCTACCAATGAGCTACCGTTCTTCCCCAAGGCATACTTTGCAGGAATCCTAGCAACGAGCAGGTGCTAAATGGTCCATGGCTGCTGGGTTTAAAGTGTCATAGCCTTATGTCCTAACTCTGCACTTAGCACAGTGTATTTGCCGTTTAATTCAATAATTTTCAATGACGGTCTTGTTGAAAATGGCCCTTGATTGCAGATAGGCCTTGAGTTAAATAATGAGGGACACTAAGTAAATGTAAACAACTTGTTTTGTGCCACCATATTGTCTTTCCTCTTTGAAATGCTATAATCAGCTTAGTGAAAGCAGCTGGTAGTACTGTGCCTCATTAATGAAATGAGCAGGGAGATCATTTATTCTCCAGCTAAATCCATGTTTTTTCCTAGTGGCCTCCAGGTGGCACCAGTGCTTAAATGATAAAATCAGGCGTTGACCTTCAGAAAACATGGCATCTTTGTTTTGAGGTTCTCTGTGTCGCAATTGGATGTGGCTTGCGACCAAGCGACAACTTTCGCACAAATGAAACTTTGTCCAGATCATGGGAGGCGGCTCCTCCTCACATCTGGCTCATAGATCAGCTTGCTTCTAAAAATACATTGTGCGCTCAGTTTGATGTCCTGAGAGTGCGGTAACTCTGCAGCGTGCCGCTTTGAACATTTGCCTTATTAAGTGTTGCATCCAATTGGTGTCCCGCTGCTCTTTGATACATCTGAACCTTCCGATGTGTTAAGTCTAAGGCCATTCCCTCTACACACACCCCTCCCCCAATTCGATTTGCAGGGAGCTATTTCAGTCAGGTTGAGCTTCCGGAGTGCAGTGTACAAGGCTCTAAATTGCACAAAGAAGTCAACTTGAGTCCCCTTTTCAAAAAGGTCATGTAAATTAGTCTCTGTTTTTGATTCTGTCCCTTTGCAGATGGTTCAAATCTGCAAATAGTCAAGTGCTTCGTATCCAAGTTATTTGAAATCACAATGCAGTGGTTTTTAGAATGCTTGGACCATCTTAATGCCTTGATTTTGTTGCATGTGGCAGCTTTTCTGGAAAAATAATTGTTTTTGTGTTGACCCTTGGAAACCAGTGTGGGCCTAAATGGGTAGAACCCTCTTCTGGAGAACCTTTAGAACTGAACAGTGCTCCTGCAGAACCACCTTCCAGAGCCATCCATCTATGGTAAATATGAGTGGAACCGCCGCAATGTTGTGCCTCCAATACCCAATTCAGAGTTGCCCTACAAGGATACCCTGGTCAAAGGTATCAAAAGTTGCTGAGATTAAGGCCTGAATGCTGATAGAAGTGGTTTTAAAAAATGGATAACTGCCAAGCCACATACATTTTCCCCCTTGTCATAGTACAGCCTGCATATGTCTGTTTTGCTGAAATGCTTTCTTACATCTCACCACACAAGTAGAGGTTGGGGTGGTAGAGCTCAACATCAAATGTGTCCAGTGCTTTTTTAAAAAAGAAAAAGTGTTTAGGGGTTCTCTCATTTTCCTACTCATGTTGAAATACTGCCCTTCAATGAGGCCAAACTTAGATTCACAAAATGTTTAGGGGTAGGCGTGCCCCTGCGTCCCCCCCAGAAAAAAGCACTGAATGTGTCTATAGAATTAGGTCCCGTCTACACTATACATTTAAAACAGTATCACACCACTTTAAATGATAATGGCTACACTTCTCCAAGTGGTTAAACAATCAGTCCCTCTCCCCTGGGAACTCTGGGAACTGTATGTTTGTGGGAGAAGTAGGGCTCTCCTAACAGCAGGCATAGGCAAACTTGGCCCTCCAGATGTTTTGGAACGACAACTCCCATCATCCCTAGCTAACCAGTGGTCAGGGATGATGGGAGTTGTAGTCCCCAAACATCTGGAGGGCCAAGTTTGCCTATGCCTGCCTAACAGCTATCAGCAGCCCTAACTAACTACAATCCCCATACTTTGAGGGAAGTCATGAGTGAAGTGGTATAATACCACTTTAAATGTAGAGTACAGGTGGGGTTTTAGTTTGTCCAGCTTCCATTTTGTCGCTGCAAAGGGGAGAAAGTGTCCTCTTCTCTGTTCAGAACAACAACATGATAACTGCTTTTTTGGATCCCACTTCAGTTGGTATCATTTTAGCAACTCCTCTTTTCATGGTAAGTATTTGTGTGTTGAGAGTGATAATGACAGGAGGGTTGGGAGGAATGCCACTCCCAGTCTGACCACAAAGTCTTTTCCTTTCCTTCGCTGTTTTCTTATCCTCACTGCTGGGGTGGCAGGATGTATGGGAGGAGGGATAGCTGTTGTCTCATTATCATGGTGCTGCAGATAATAAACATGCTGACACCATGTGGATGCCTTCCACAAAAGCTGTCCTTCAGTCAGTTAGCAATTCCTGTGCCATGTGCATGACTGTAAGCAGGATTGTGCTTGTCTTCTTTCTACACATGCGGGACTGAATGTGAGAGACAGCACAGAAACTAGTATGGAATTCGTAGAATCTCATCTGTTTTATTTAATCAATTTGTTTAATCAACACAGATGAGGGAGATCGTTTTGAAATTGTGCATTTGGTGTTTGCAAATACAGTACTGCTAAAGTATTTGGAGATGTCTCCTTGTGTGTCCTACATGGCCATCTCTTCCCATTCCAAACCACCTGAAAAGTTCATGATTTCATAGAATTATAGAATTGTAGAGTTGGAAGGGACCCTGAGGGTCATCTAGTCCAACCCCTTGCAATGCAGGAATCTTGCCCACAGCCATCTCTGAGTGGGCTTGAACCACTGACCTTCTGGTTAAGAGCCAAACTGACCCACTGTGCCACCTGAGGGTCTTTCCAGAGCAAGGGTAGGCAACCGAAGCCCGTGGGCCGGATGCAGCCCAATCGCCTTCTCAATCCGGCCCGTGGACAGTCCAGGAATCAGCGTGTTTTTACATGAGTAGAATGTGTCCTTTTATTTAAAACGCATCTCTGGATTATTTGTGGGGCCTGCCTGGTGTTTTTACATGAGTAGTATGTGTGCCTTTATTTAAAACGCATCTCTGGGTTATTTGTGGGGCATAGGAATTCGTTCATTTCCCCCTTCCCCAAATATAGTTTGGCCCACCACATGGTCTGAGGGATGGTGGACCGGCTGAAAAGGTTGCTAACCCCTGTTCCAGAGGATGTGGCATTTAAGACACGCAAAAAAGCTGGAACCCAGCTGTTTTCATTTCAAAGACATGAAGATAAAGGAGCAACACAGATCAAAAGGAAAAAAATATTATGTATGGCGAGATCAACCTCTTCATCCATCACTGATCTTTAGTGTCATCCATTGCATTTATTTATTGCAGGGGAAATCAACCTGGTACCCTTCTGATCTTGAACTCCAATCCCCATCAAGTCCAGCAACATCTATAGGTCACCCAGTTGTTCATTCCTGGTTTATTGTATTTATATTTCCACTTTCTCCCACTGAGTCCAAGGCAGTACAGTGGTACCTCGGGTTAAGAATTTAATTCGTTCTGGAGGTCCATTCTTTACCTGAAACTGTTCTTAACCTGAGGTCCCACTTTAGCTAATGGGGCCTCCTGCTGCTGCCATGCTGCTGCCGCACGATTTCTGTTCTCATCCTGAAGCCAAGTTCTAAACCCGAGGTACTATTTCTGGGTTAGCAGAGTCTGTAACCTGAAATGTCTGTAACCCGAGGTACCACTGTATATCCTGGGTTCCCATGGAGTTTTCCACCCAGGCACACTAAGCAGGCTTGAACTGCCTTAGAGAAAGATTTTCAGTGTTAAGCCAATAATAGACTTCTAATGGCTAATTTTGAAGGCCATATAACGCGCACCTATTTCCCTTTGAAATAAATTAAATAAATAAAAAATTGTCCAGTAGCACCTTAGAGACCAACTAAGTTTGTTCTGGGTATAAGCTTTCGTGTGCATGCACACTTCTTCAGATTCTTTGGTATCTGAAGAAGTGTGCATGCATACGAAAGCTTATACCCAGAACAAACTTAGTTGGTCTCTAAGGTGCTACTGGACAATTTTTTAATTTATTTCGACTGCGTCAGACCAACACAGCTACCCACCAGAATCTATTTCCCTTTGGAAATACTTGGCCCTCCTAAAACAGTGGATTGGCATTTCTTCTCTAAAGGCAAAAATCAGATCCCTGCAAGTGATAAATTGCCTATAGCTTATAACAAGCCACAAAGCCTATGAAACAATTTTGGAGAGCCAAACTTTAGACTTGACTATAAGAGCACTCATCTGCCCCCTGGCATGTTCAAATTACTCCAGTGTGCTATGTCTTGGGCGCAGTTTTCCCTTTCCTCTCTTTGATAGGAAAATGCGGCATGCAATAGAATGGGGGCAGGAGCAAGCTCTAGTAGTGATTTCAGTGACACGTAGATTGGCAAGTATTTCTGATTTCCAATTTTTTCAACAATCAACAACAAAAAGAAATACATGCACACCCTTAATTCAGGCTGCCAAAATGCAGAAAGATTGAGTTAACAATGAAAGGACTGTAAGCTCACTTACGGACTCATTGTTAAAACCATGTTTATGGAAGACAATCTTACTTGGCTACGAGTGATCACCAAAGAAGAAGAAGCTCAGTCCAGTTCTGGTATGGAAAAGAAATTCCCAGACTTAAAATGTGATCAGGGGCACCTTGTTCTTCAATTCTAACCACATACCTTTTGCACCTGGCTCTGCTTGGTAGATCTTGGCTTTCTAGCTTAAAATAAACTACACTCCCATCCTTGCATGCCAGCTCTCATAGGAATGGTAAAGTCCCTGTGAGTTGACACATATGTATTAGTGGCACTGGAAACATGAAGGACATTCTGTTATATGTATCATATTCCTCTTTCTTGTTCTCTTCTGGGGAAAAAAATTCTAAAGGAACTTCTTGACAACATTTCATTCCTGAATGGTAGTGATAAAACCATTCATTTGATACCTGGGAGAGATTTAACTCATTTAACTCACAAGGTTGCTGTGTGTGCCCTTGCAACCCAAAGGTTTAGGTGTAAATTTATCCTGCACAATACATTGCATTGTGCAGGGAGTCATTTATAATAAATTGCAATACTGTCCCTTTCGCAGGACATATAAGCTGTATATAAAATGGTGTTTGTTTCCCATGTTTGTGACGACCAATGGTGTTTAATAAAACTTGACATTTCTCTTATAGAACAGAATGAAAAGCCCCAAAAGGCCTGAAATGTGGCCCTTTTGTTGCTGGTCCTCTAGGCTCCTGCCATGATGGCTTCTATTAGCTCTGTTTTCTAATAGCATCTATAATAAATTAGCAAAATTGCCACACCAAATATAACCATAAAGCAGCCATCAGTAATCAGTATATGAATCTAAAGACTGCACTAGTGCAGCGTTTCTCAAAATCTTTGAATGCAGCCCTCCTTCTGAAATTACGCTACCTTTTGTGACAGCCACATGTACCCATGCAAAAATAGCAGTTTGTTCCACAGAGGCATGTGTGTGAAGATTCTCATACACAGTTGAATGCAGCCTCCTGATGTTTGTGTGATGATTTGTGAACTGGAGTAGTAAAATGAGGAAACTTGTAAAATGGGACATATGATTCCCCTATCCTAAACCAAACATTGATTAAAAAAAAATAGAATAAGCATCCTCCTTCCAAAATCAGATTTTGATGATGGGCCAGGAGGGATAAAGTCATCCATATAAATACAATGTGAATCAGTGATTGTCCTCTTAAGTTTTGGCTGTGGAGGGAAGAGGGCAGAATGAGGAAAGTTCTTGGAGTGAAGCGCAAAAAGAAAGCGATACCTTGATCAAGAACCCCATATAACTTATGGAGGCAATACTGTACTGTGGATTCCACACACCCACAAACTGACTGAAAAAGAATGGTGCTAGAGACAGCTCAGCATATCAAGATCAGCAATGGTGAGGAAGGGGCCTATAGCTTGGGAAGCTTCATCTGACTATAGTATAAGGGTAGGCAATATGGTGCCCTTTGGCTATTGGACTACATCTGTCAGCCCCAGCCAACATGGCCCATTGTTAGGGATGATGAGAATTGGTGTCCAGCAACATCTGGAGGGAGCCAGGTTGACTGTCCCCGCTCTGGTGAGTGACCCAGATGGAGGCACATATATGAGAAGCTCCGGCTAGCTTCAGGGTTAAAAAGCAAATCCAAAGAGGGGATTAATACACTCATTTATCTAATGAAGGATTGGGCAGATGTCATTCAAGCTAAGCGAGGTAGGGTTAAAGAAATCTAATAAAGTAGTGGAAAGTTTCAAAAAACATTTCATTGTGAGGAGCAATGCGATTGATGGACGGGCACAATTTAATACTCGTATGAAAAAGGAAAATGAACCTATGGATGATTTTATTACCTCTCTATATTCCCTAGCTGAGATGATCAGAGACATAATTGTTGTGGATGTCAAAAAACTCAAAGTGTCCAAAAAACTACAATTGGATGAGAGACTTACCCTGGAAAAAGCGTTCATCACTGTGAAGTAGCATGAGAGAGTGTAAAGAGGCCACCATTAGACCTTCATAAAAGGAACAGCATTCCCCACCCCCACCCTCACACTGACAGTATTCATACTCTGAAGCGAAAGTCACAGCTACAGGGACAGTCCACCACACAAAACTCACAAAACAGGGAGGAAAAATGTCGGTGGCAGGATTCTGCCTAGCAAAGGATTCTGTTTGCTACTATTGCAAGAAAAAGGAACATTTTGTTAAAGTATGCTTTGCTGAAGTAGCACTGGGACAAGTCACTACTAATCCAGCTGGCTTTCTGGGATCCTTGGCAGACAATCAAACAGTAAATATGAGAATGTGGTTGGCAGAAATCGAGATGGATGGGTACCAAGTAGAATTCAAGCTTGACTCTGGGTGTCACAACTAACCTACTAGTGGTATTTAGACTACATTAAAAACACCAGGAGAACAGTGGGCAGCAGTGGGCAGCTTCAGAGTAGTCATGCACTGCAATGACAAAGAAGAAATCAGGAAAGTGATTTATGTAGTGAAGCAAATAGAAAGCCCTTGTTAGGATGCAGAATGGTATGTGTCCAGCATTTGCCAACAGGAATACCAATATTGACTACCTCAGAAGGTGGCCTTTCTGTTGTGTTTTAATAGCATACATAACTATGATAGAAAGAGGCTACAGATTCGCCAGATTCTTCCTGCAGCTCTTCATTCAGACTTCCCCTTCATTGTCTCATAATGTCCTCTGGACCAGGCTTAATTGTAATCTCTTTGCTGCTAAAGTCTTTATTCACTTCTGAAGCAGGAAGTTCTGGAAGAAAACATCATCATTATTTTTAATTAAATCGCCGGATATTGCAACACAGGCATTCAGCTTTGCCCTAATTGACTCCTCTTGGCCACTGTATCATCTCCTGAAATCATATCACTAGATAAAGTTTTCATACAGTCTATGCAAATGATAATCATCTTATAACATGGAGTTTGTGGTGATACACAACTATGGTTTGGGAAAATGTTCATGTTTTCAAACCATAGTCTGTGATCAGACAACAAACAAGAATCAGAAACATGGACAGAAGTGGTTTTGCAAATTTTGGTTTCTGCTAGCTGTAGCTTGGCATGATGTCTGAATTGCACCCCAGAAGCAGGAACAGTTCTGTACCATAGTTTGTATGTTGGGAAGCTCAAAGCAAGGTTTGGCATGATGTCTGAACCAAGTCAGTAACCATATTCACTACCATGTACAAATTGCTTGGAGATTTTTGAGTTTTAACTGCTTTTAAATAAATTAAATAGTATGATAATTGTAAGAGGTGACACTCTCCTTTACGCTC